AAGCGATTCTCGAGTTTTATAAAACGATTTCTCGAGTTTTATAAAACGATTCTCGAGTTTTATAAAACGATTCTCGAGCTTTATAAAACGATTCTCGAGCTTTATAAAATGATTTCTCGAGTTTTATAAAACTGTTCATTTTGTATTCTTGCGGAAAGTTTTGGCTATTAATTCCGTCGTACCGATTTTGACCCCAACACATATGGCGACCAAGATTTGTAACGTGTCGGTCGCCATATGACGACCGAACCTATGAAGCATCAGTCTCCATATGGCGATCGGACCCGTGAAGCACCGATCGTCATATCGCCATATAGCGACCTGAGCCGTAAAGCATTAGTCATCATATAGTGACCCAAGCTTGTGAAGCAGCGGTCGCTATATGGCGACCGGCCGTGAAGCATTGGTTTCCATTTGGCGACCTTAGCCATGAAGCACCGGTCTCCATATGGCGACATGAGCCATAAAGTATCGTTCGCTATATGGCGATCCGAGCTTGTGAAGCACCGGTCACCATATGGCGACCTGAACTTGAGGGCAATGTTAGAGCCTCGAGTGCAAAGAGGTGAGACCGTTCAACTCGCCATATGGCGAGCTGGACGTTGTCCATTCTACTCGCCATATTGTGAGTTGGACGTTGTCCTTCCTACTCGCTATACGTCGAATTGGACGAAGGCAAAACCGTATTAATATTCCGAGGATCTATATTTAGGATTTTTCTAAAACTATTTCGAGAAGGTTCTTTTAATAATAGCACGTTAATTTTGAAATAACCGTTTTTCACCCCAACAATTGGACACCTAAAAATCCCGATATGAACACATGTTTTTGCTAAACTAACATGTGTGGTCACATGATCTTGATCTTATCTCTTATTAGTGGGTTGGGCTAAATATTAATGTTGCAATGGGTTTTAATTCAACATGGGTGAAAAGAAAACACTAATCTGACACGTTAAATTGTCGTGTTAGTTTAAAGACAGAGCTTTCTTTATTTATTAAACGGTGTTATGGACTTCTGAAAACACACAGAGGAAGAAGAATGAGCAATCTTCAAACTGTAAGATCACTTCTTTTTTTGTTTAAACTTTATTTATATTTAACTTTCCAATATATCTGTGTGTATCTGCTTTAGCATCGTCGATCATCTGTAGTCTCTAAATTTGATCGGACTGTACTTTCTTTTGTTTTAATTATTGGACATTCCTTGACTGTGTTACTATAATTTTTTGATATGGAGAAAGCAGGTGTTGAAGAACCTGGAGCCATGGTGTGAACTAAAAGACAAAGTGGTTCTTGTGACAGGAGCTTCCTCTGGCATAGGAAGAGAGATTTGTCTTGACCTAGCTAAAGCTGGCTGCAAGATTATTGCAGCAGCTCGTCGTGTTGATCTTCTTAAATCTCTCTGCTCTGAAATCAACACAACCCGAGTCCAAGCCACTGCCCTTGAGCTAGACGTTTCATCAGACGCAGCCACGGTTCAAAAGGCGGTTAAAGAAGCTTGGGAAGTCTTTGGAAAGATTGATGCGTTGGTCAACAATGCAGGATTCCGAGGCAGTGTCATGTCTAGTTTGGATCTGACAGAAAACGAATGGGACAAAGTCTTTAAAACCAACTTAACAGGAGCTTGGTTAGTATCCAAATACGTCTGTTCTTTAATGTGTGACGCTAAAAGCGGTGGTGGCTCGGTGATAAACATTTCATCCATCTCGGGGCTCCATCGCAGTTTATTTTATGGTGCAGTCGCGTATGCTTGTTCCAAAAGCGGTGTTGACACCATGACAAGAGCGATGGCTATTGAGTTAGGTGCTTACAATATTAGAGTGAACTCGATCGCACCAGGGCTTTTTAAGTCAGAGATCACACAAGCTCTTGTCGAGAAAAAGTGGCTCAAGAATGTGACCGACCGGATTATCCCGTTAACTGCGGAACAGACCGTGGATCCGGGGCTCACCTCTCTGGTTCGCTATCTAATTCACGGCTCTTCTCAATATGTCTCTGGCAATATATTCATCGTTGACTCCGGAACTACATTGCCCGGACTACCTATTTTTTCTTCCCTATGAACCCTAAAATCTCTCTTTTTTTTTTATTTCCTATAATAAGTGAAAACATTTTACAGTTTACAAACTAAAGAGAATCTAATATTCAAAAGGCCTTGACTAGTTTAAATTTAAGTATGTAGATTCAATTTAAAATGCCATCATTGGGTTATCTGAATCAGAGCTCATCGTACTTGAGTTCCTTTAGTTCCACTTTAACTGGAAGTCTCTTCTCCATCCAAGCTATATAACCACCGTCCATGTTTTTTACACTCTTGAATCCCTGTCAAATGGCCAGGATGAAGAACTCAGATAAATTCTAGAAAAGGCATAATAAGATCTTGTTCATCCACTATTAAGTATAGCATGAAAACTGGTAATTTATTGGCCAAAAATAAATAAATGAAAATTGGTACTTACAGAAGACACAAGAACCCTGGTAGCATACAAAGATCTAACTCCAGATTTACATCCCTACAAAAGAATATTAAAACAACAGATTCTAGTATTTAGCTCCAGTGATATAAGTGAATTAAAACAGAATATATATTATATAACTGTACGTTACCACGACGATATGATCCGTTTGGTTAAAGAGAGATGAAACATGTTTAAAGAAATTTGGGTTATTTTCTTGACCTTGTGAAGTATAGAACCAGTAGGGAACATTGAAGACTTTCTCTAAATCAACATGACCTTTCTCGAATTCTTCAACAGTTCTGTTCTAAGACATCTAAAATTTCAGAAAATGGCCGACAATAAAGACATGTCTGAATCTGAAACGTTTTAAAACTTTACCTGACATCGAGAAAAGTGTAGCCGTGATGAAGGAGTTTATAGGCTTGGCTTACATCGATAGTAATATCTTCTGGTTCTAAGCTTGATAAAGTCTTGCAAGAAAGGTGAAGAGAAACAATGAAAAGAAAAAGAACTGTTCTTATAAAGTGGGAGAAAACCATTTTATTGCTTAAATATTTTTCGCAGAGACTGAACAAGAAGATTAGTAAGTTTAAACTGTATATATTTTAGACTTTAGTAGTCCAAATCTATTCGTGTTGAATCCGCCGTTGGATTCGAGTACTCTTGTTTTCGTTTTGGCGGCAGAGGAGTATGTTTGCCGTTGGATTTACCGCCTGTCGTATTCTTTTTCCTTTTTGTCAACTTTTTTTTCCCAACTAGACATTTGTCAACTTATCAATAATGGTCAACTTATTTATAGATAAAAACAAACATAGAGACTAACTAGAAAACAACACTTCTCTGTTATAATAAGTGAAAATGACTTTTACAATTCCCAAATAATTACAAACTTACAATTGTCATCTAAACAATTGCAAAAGTTTAACTTAAATGGTTGCAAAAATTAACTTAAATTTCCAACAACATGATTTAATTTAACAACATGATTATAAGTTCGAGCATGCCGTTTTTAAAAAAAAAAAAAAAACAGAGTATTCACTCGACTTACACGTGTCTGCGTTCCAAACGTGCCCCTACAGCAATACTCCAACATTTCAAACGCCACTCAAGCACGCCATTGCTGCTCCATCCGCGCATCAGATATTACTACTTTCGGCGGAGAGGGACAAACACCGTTGATATCTGTTGCGCAACCTGTTGTGTTACAGCCTTACAGGTACGATTCCATGATCTCCGTCGTTAGGAAAGATGTAACCATCCACGAGGTTGACGTCGAAGAAGTCAAGGTTTCTTGCAATGTTGAGTGTGAACTCAGCTTGTGTAGCGAAATGACTAATTCCACCACATTCGTAAGAAGCACCACCAGGTCCACCACTACCATGCAGTCCTTGTTATGCAAACTCTCTCTCTATAATACCCTGGTTTGTGGTAGGAGTATGTGTAATAATTTTAATTTTTTTTAATTATTTCTTTAGGTTTTAAATTAATAAACTTAGTTTTTTTCTAAAATAAAAATAAATTAATTTATTTTCTTTCAAAATTATTTTTTAAAACTTTCGAGTCCTTTTTTCTTAAATCTTCAAGTAAAACTAGAAATTTAAAATAGTTTTCTTAGATTTTAGAGATTTTTTAAAAAATTTATTTGAAATTTATTAGTATTATTAATTAAAATAAATAAAATAAATAAAATTGTAGTATAAAATGAGTATGCTTATAAAAATGTGTGTATTAAAATAGATAAACTAATTAATCTATATTATTAAAAGTGAAGGCACCCTTGAAAAATCGACTGACAGAAGTTGTGTGTTCACCCTCATTAATGGTATTTTGGTAATTTATTTTTTGGGCTTACATCTATATCTATATCGATTTGTTACAAATCATATCACATATTACATATACCCGATTTATTCGCTCTCTTCCCATTAATTACTCTAACCATATTACATAATATATTTCATACATTTATATTGTGTTATAAACCTTATATTACACGATTTAAATCTATAGATTTTCAACATTATAATTTTTTGGTTGAGATTTTTTGGTATATGTATCATATATCGACTTTATAAAACTCATATTACTCTAACCATGATATGATGCTATATTTAATATATTAATATTTTTATATAGTTGTACTACACCTTATATTTCAAAGACTATACTTTATAAACTCATATTATTCTAACCATGATATGATGCTATATTTCATATATTAAGATTTTCATATAGTTGTACTACACCTTATATTTCAAAGACTATACTTTATAAACTCATGCTACATATATTAAGATTTTGTTATAGTTGTAGAATGCATTATATAATATATTGTCTATATCGACAATTTCATAAGTTCTCTTCTTATATAAAACATTTTTAATATGTCTCACTACTTCTATCATTTATTTCATACCTCAAAACCATTTCAAGACATTTGAGAATGGATAATCTATTCAAATATCCTTCACTTCATGTTTTTCTCCATTTTAATACATTTGAGGATGGAGAATCCATTCAATGTCCTTCAATTCATGTTTTTTCTTCATATATGAAATATGTTTTCATGTCTCACTAAATTTACCTGTATTTATAAACCATAGTTAGACGACATATAGTGACATCAAATATGTCGATATATCATCATTCTCATGGTGACATTTAATGGACGAGATACATTTTTTTAAGAAAATATTGCAAAAACTATTTTCTATAATTATCTTCGTACTAAAATAAATGAACTGCTTCATCTACAAGTTTATAGATTAACCACAATCAATATCGTGGTTAGTTATTCTTTGTTTGGATTCCATAAATTTCGGTAACTTACTGTAGTTGGATTACCATTAACTGTTAAACTTTAAACTTCATATCTAATTCAAAATATCTTCAAGAAATATTCCTTATTCCTCGAAAGAGATATTTTTTAAAATCGTCTAAATATTCTGCCCTATATTTGTGTAACCTAGATGTATATCGTCCCTACCTATTATAAATATAGTCTATCTTAACCACTATATTCATCATTCCTTGAAAAACTTTAAAAAAAAATGGCGAATAATTTGCAGTTGTCTTTCTTGAACGATATAAAACCGAGGAAGACTACATATCGCATCCAAGTCAATCCTTCATACATGGAGACATTTCATGAAAGACATAGGGGAGACCATGGAACTAATTATTTGTGATGTAAATGTAAGTTTATCGTTTTATATTGATTTATGATTTAGATATCTACATTTCGTAAGTTTTATATATTTAAGATAAAAGATATAGGCCTATAAACATATTGATTTATAACTTGATATGCAATTCTATTAGTGGCCAGAGAGTAGCTTGTTGTCTTTGGGGTAAATTTGCTGAGAATCTTCATACAACTAGCCAAGAAACAAAAGGCATGGTGATATGTCTTCTACGATTTGCTAGATTGGGCAATATAGAGGTATTCCATGAAAATGAAAACTTTTGTTTCGATTTTGTATAAAATGACCAATGTTTATATAGTTAGAAATATTTTTCTACTAACTCAATGTTTTGATCATCTTTCATTTTTATGTTTTATGTCAGAAGAAATTACTCAAATGTTTATGATTTATTTTTGGTTATAGGTGAGGTCCAAATCTCAAATGCTTATGATGTAAGTAGGGCGGGTATGGGTCAAAAAATTTGAAAAAATTTATTGGCGGGTGTGGGTTATGAGTATTTTATGCGGGGCAGGTGCGGGTTGGTGGATTTTAAATCGCGGGTACCCGCCTACCCGCAAATATTTTTTATTTCTTTTTCTTAGATTGTTTTTTTTTGTTAGAAAAAGTGTTTTTTTGTAAAAATAAATAAATATTTTTAAAAAGAAGATGAATTAAGAAAATAAGAATTAAAAAAATTTAAAATATATATTTTTTATTATAAATATATTATTTTATTATTTTTAATAAAAAATAAATAATTATTTTTTGAAAAATATAACCTGCGGGTTACGCGCAAAATCAAGCGGGATGGGAGCGGATATAAATTTATACATTCCCGGGTTGTCCGGGTTGGATTTTTTGACAAAAAACTAAAATCCGCGGCTTGGCGGGTCATCGAGGTGGGTTTGACCTGCAACCCATAGATGTTTGTTAATCCTGAAATACGAGAGGTATATGAATTTAAACAATGGTATTTATCTACTTCAACAAAAAAAAATTTCACTTTATCATAGTATAAATTAAATTATAAAACTTATTTATAATTGGAGAGGTAGTAATGATTTTCAAGGGTGAACCCCTTGCTGAATAAAACGAGAACAAGCTTGAGTTGCAGATAAATCGAGATAAATGGATGCAAAATTTGAGGAGTTACTTAAAATATCTGAGGTATTGTATTTTCAAAAACTATACTAATATGGAAATTGACATCTCTTTGATTGTTTATTTATGGATTTATCATTTTTTAGGAAAAACTATGTAGGGTTGTTACGACAATCTATGCCATTAATACAGATTGGAGATGATATTATTTTGGTTGTTTAAGTTGTAACAACAAGAAGATTTATCCACATTCCAGAACCGTTAGAAATCTTACTAATTTTGGTTTCATGCCTTTTTAATAGTACTGATTTTTCAAATTTACTATGGGTCATGAACCCATTCAATTTTGGTTTCAATTTAATATGTGTTTTAATTTTTCATACTCTCACAACACTTAATATTTTTGATTCTCGGTTCAATTAAAAACTGACTCGGTTATGCAAAACTCAATGAAAAGACCCTACTAAAGTTTAAATACACATCAAATTTCACATATAAAACTATCATATAATAGAAATCGAATCATTTGATACATTTTGTTACAATCAAAACAAAACCTGCACTTTTCGAAAGCGGATCGAAATCTTAGTTAAGGTATTAAATTGGCTAGTGAAACAATTTGGATATTAAAAAGTTAACTAAATTGGGGTATTATTATGAAATTTTCGCTTACTAAAACATAAAACACAAAGTAATTAACAGTTTCTAAAGAAACAAAAAACGTTGATCCTACGTGGTATGGTAGCGAGCCAGATGTATCGATCACCCAGTCAACTCGCTACCAGCATTGATCAGTTTCCCAATTCCCTCCGCAGTAACTGCCAAATCCAGAAACACCGACCGTCAACGGCCGGACCCGGCAAAGGATCTTCCGATCATAAACGGCGCGTTTCTCGTGATCAAAAAGCGTGCAATACGCCGCGTTGATCTTCATAAAATCGTCTGCGGACGAGCAATTTCGACCGTTTCCAGCCACGTCGGGATGGCAGATCCTGGCTAGTCGACGGTAAGCTGATCTGATCTCCTGGCTCGTCGAACCAACGGGAATTTCAAGGATCTCGTAGAGCGACGGGGTCTCCGAAAGTCTCTGCGGAATCTGGCGCAGTCTCGGTTGATCTTCAGCGCAGGTGTGGGAGGAGGCAGTGGTTGCAGAAAGAGATATATGTGACGTGCGACATGGTCGTGATAGAGGGGAGAACGGGAGAGAGGAAGAGAAGATAAATGAAGGACCGAAGAATGTTGGCGAAGAAGATAGCATCATAAAACGATTCCTTAAGAGTTTTTAGTTTGTTTGTTTTCAGTTCACGTTGCAGTGTGATTGAGGGAGGGAGGAAGAGAAACTGGCGATGTTTACTTTATAGGAGAAGAGGTGGTTTATCATTTTTTATTATTGTAATCTACCAATTCGTTGAGTTAAGCGAAATGGAGCGGAGTCGGGTGGGTGGTTTCGGATCCTAACATATTGGTTAATTCTGTGCAATCAAAACTAAACCGATGTTTAACGGTCGGTTAGTAAACTTTTAGAACAAAAATAAAAACAAAACCAAACTGGAACGGAACTGAATAAATATCTAAATATCTAAAATACAGCTTTTTGTATATCTAAAAATATTATACCAATCACAAAACATTAACAATTAGTAATCGTATTTTCCACCTTTTTAGTATTTTGGTATTGATGGCATTTTTAATCATTTTTAAAGCAACTCCAATGGTACTCTACTTTTCCATCTAAACATTAAATATGTAGAATGAAAGTCACTCCAATGATATACCAAATATTACACCAGATATAGAGGGATGAATAGTATTACGCCATATATAGAGTCACACTATTTATTTACTCTATTTTTGAAGTTCACTTTTTCTTTACAAAATTGTCCCTCATTTTTTATAAGTTGTCATTTTCTGCCTTAATAAAATTATATATTATAGCTTTATACTTTTAAATATCATTAAATTTATAAAATTAATTATTAAATTAGCTAATACTTTAAATGCACTAATAATTTATATTAAATAAAAAATAAAAAACATAATGATTAATAAACTAAAAATACATAATCTACAATAAAATACAAAAAAATCAAACTTATCATAACACATTATTATGATTGAATATTCTGGTAGATCATTTTATTTTAAAACAATCATTTAAATTTAATAATATTGTAATTATATTGTGTTATTGCTACAATATTAAATATAAAGGTAAAATTTAAACATTTCAAAAATTATGGGTTAAATAATAAATTAACAAATAAGTTAAGAAAGAATATAGTAAGAATATTCCTCTAAAGAGTAAACAATAGAGGTAACTATTGCAGCAAAACCCTCTTCTATTTTTAGAGTATTCTATATTTAGAGTAAAAGATAAAGACAATCATTGGATATGGTTTTACTTCCCGCTATTTGCTCTACTGATTAGAAGGTTTTCGACCAGAGCTTTTACATCATACAAAGTTTTTGTCCAACAGAGAAGACAAACCTATTTGTTTTGAGTTAAACTAAATTTTGACTATAAACTCGAAAACCCAAATGGGTGTACTACATGTAAATTCGAAAGAGACTATTTGATGATTTCGCTCAAATCACTAATGATTAAGATTAAATTCTGAAAATAGTATTGAAAAGGCTTTCTTAAACCGATAAACAACATGAATGACTTAACCGAATAAAAATGGGGTAAAATAGTCGAATTAAACAAGCTAACGTTGTTGAGCTATTAGGTGAGTTAGCTCGGCTACTAGTTGAACAAGTGCACGAACTGATTGATTGTTTTAACTTTATTAGAAGTATGAGCTTACTGGTACATAAGGAATGTACACTACCCTAGAAAAACAAAGTTTCTGACTTGCTAGTTCTGAAGTTTAGGTCTAAGTGGTAAGGTAATAGATGCGTGAAAAATGCAAAACTTAGACAAAATCCACGACTGATAAAAAATTAAACCAATGTCAAAATAGGTTCTCTGTAAAAAAAGATGATCAAATCCAAAGACTATTTGACAACTAAGGGTGGGCACAAATCGAATATCCGGAATTTTCAGAGGTATTCTTAATCTGATCTATTCTGAATAATCAATTATATGATTCGATACGTATTTACCTAAATATTTGGTGTTTGAATATCCAAAAAAAAATATTTTAAGGATATCCGAATCAATTCGCAGAAATAAAATAAATTTTAATTTAAATAAAAAATAAAAATAACATAAAATAATAATATTTTAACAGGTTTGGTCAAATGTTAGCTGCATTTTCTGACGTATGCACCTTCTCCAATAAGACTTTTCCAGAAGCTGTTAACTCTCTTATCTTGTGAAACCTTATATAAATGTGCTTTTTCCTTGCATGATACATTTGATTCCCAGCCAAACAGAATGTGCTTAATTTGACTATCACAGTGTAACTGAATACCTCACTGATCAACACCCTAGTCGGATACAAGTCATTGTACCTATATCGCCTCCTTAGTTGTTTCTCTAAGTGCCATATATTCATCTTGCGTGGTCGACATCGATACAATAGGTTGTTGCACCGATCTCCAACATAGGTGCTTCTACAAGAGTAAAGACATACCATGTAGTCGACATGCTATTATCGTGGTCTCCACCATAATCTGAATCCACAAATCTAATATCTCGAGGGATGCTTCATAGAAATGGATTCAAGCTCAAATCTGATGATGGAGAAGTATTGAAGGTATTCTATGAAGCTATGATGGTGATGAAGGGTCAGATGATAGGTGGAAGTCTTTATCGGTTGATAGGGAATGTGGTTGTATGTGGAGACTCAGCTGTAGTTTCGGAGCCAGAGTGTACAGTGTTGTGGCATATGCGTATGGGTCACATTGGCGAGTACGAAATGAAAGAACTTTTGAGAAGGGGTCTTCTGGACGGGTAGAACGATTACAAGATGGATTTTTGCAAGTCTGTGTGATGGTAAAACAGTCAAAGGTATCTTTTAAGACGGGGCAACACACGACATAGGGTATTATAGAGTATGTTCATTCTGATGTGTGGGGCCAACTCGAGAATTGTCACTGGAAGGATCAAGGAACTTCTTTTTATTCATCGATGATTTCTTTAGGAATGTTTGGGTGTACTTGTTAAGGCATAATTCTGAAGTGTTCGCGAACTTCAAGATTTAGAAGTCTGAAGTAGAAAATCAAACGGAGAGAAAGGTGAAGTATTTGAGATTAGATAATTGCACTGAGTATACTGATGGATTGTTTCAGAGGTTTTGTGAGAAGCATGGTATTCAGAGGCACTACACGGTGCGTAACATCTCCGCAAAATGGTGTTAGTGAAGGATAATCAATTCGTTTGCAGAGAAAGCAAGGTATTTGAGATTGAATGCATGGTTACCAAGCAGTAAACATGGCAGTCTATCTTATCAATAGATCGCCAAGGAGTTCCTTAGAAGGAAAAACCACATAATAGGTATGGACTGGGATAGATATTGATCTATCAAACTTGAGGATATTTGGATGTTTGGCTTACATGCTAGTTTTATGATACAAAAGGTCAAAGCTGGATTCAAAATCCAAAAGTGCATATTTCTAGGCTTTGAGAAAGGTGTTAAAGGTTTCAAGTTGTGAGATCATGAGGCTAAGAAGAGGGTGTTTAGTCGAGATGTGGTCTTTGATGAGCAGTATATGGTGCAACAGGTGATATCAGACGAGTGCCTATAATTATTTAGGCTAACACGGATTCTAATATAACTTAGGAGGAGTCTAGTGGAGATAAACCAGATGTTATTTGTTATGAGCGGTATGTGGAAGGACAATAATAGGTTCAACATGGAAAGGAGGAGAGTACGGTTAGTAGAAGTCCAAACGTGCAATAAAAGCTTCTGTCAGGTTTGGGTTTGAATACATGGTCAATTCTTCTCTTGTGGTCAAGATGGATGATCCTACCAGTTATCGAGAAGCTATTAATAATGACGAGAAGGAAGAACAGATTTGGTCTATGACATAAGAGAATGTACGTCTGAAGCAGACTTGAGATCTTGTGGAATTACCTGAAAGGAAGAGAGTGATTGGTTGCAAATGGGTTTATAAGAAGAAACAAAGGATATCTGACAAAGAAACATTCAAATTTACGTCAAGATTGGTGATGAAAGGATACTCACAAAGGAAAGGTATCTACAACGAGATATTCTCGCATGTAGTATGAAACACTTCCATATAAGTAGTGTTGGTTTGGTAGCTAGCTGGGATTTACACCTAGAACAAATGGATGTAAAAACAACTTTCCTTCAAGGACACTTGGAGGAGGAAATATATATAGAGCAACCTGAAGGTTTTGTTAAGTCTGGAAAATAGCATCTTTAGTATGTTGAAGAAGTCACTCTACGATTTGAAGCTGGCTCCAAGACAATGGTACAAATGTGTTAGCTCTTATATGTTAAATATCAGCTATCAAAGGAGTGAGTATGATTGCTGCGTTTATGTTAGGTTCCTATAAAACCATTCTCACATTTCTTTCTATTATATGTTGATAATATGCTCATTGCTGCAAACGATATGGATGATATAAATCGTTTGAAATGACTACTAGGAGATGAGTTTGAAATGAAGAAACTTGGTGCTGCAAAGAAGATTCTCGGAATGGAGATCCGCAGAGATAGAAACACTAAGAGATTATAGCTTTCTCAGAAGAGTTACATTGAAAAGGTCTTAGAACGTTTTGACATGTTGAAGACAAAACTGGTTCCTACACCTTTGGCGAAGCACTTCATATTTTCAACAGAACAATGTCTAAAGTCTACTGAAGAGCTCAAAGATATAGAGCATATTATACATGCTAGCGCAGTTTGATGTTTGATGTAAGCTATGGTGTGTATGATGCCGGATCCAAATTTAGCTCTGATACACTTGTTGGGCTTCGTCCAACCCCGTGTCCAACTCTTTCGTGATTGATTAGTACGATATTGACCACTTTGGGCCAGAACGCAAAGCCGTCATTCTCTGCTACGTACCCTCCTTTCCCATCGAAGGTGGAGCATTTCGAATTTGAAGGGTATTTTGGTCTTTTTGCAAATTTTCGTCAACCTGGCTCTGATACCACTTATTGAGCTTTTTCAAGTCTATGTCAACCTCTTTAATGTCTGATTAGTATAATATTTTCCACTTTGAGCCCGAAGGAAAAGCTCTAATCAGAGCTGAACATCATCTTTTATACTAGACATTATTTGTTTAAACATCCAATGTGAGATTTTGTTTGCATTCACAACACCCTTCGAGACATGAATGGTACCT